CATCAGCAGCGGATGGAGAAAAACCAGCCGAGGGGGAGGGGTGTTTTGTCCGGTTTGGTTTTGTTTTGGGGGAGGGGGGGGGGTAAAAGAAGCTGAAAAATAGATCAGGGGATAAAGTGAACCACCCATTTTATTCAGGGTAGTAAAATGGATTTTTTTCCAAATATAACAGTGAACACTTCAAGTCAAAGGGACGAGCACCACTTTTGATTCCTCTAAAACTGAGACTAGCTAGCTACTAGTAGCTCAGATGTCTTTGCTCCAAACCAGAGAGGGCCCCAACTCTTGTTTCCTGCTAATGACGGGGTTAGCTCTGCACCAATTTATTCTTCTTTTGAGAAAGGAGTTGTGCACCACCAGTTGTTGTGTCCTGTCCACAGGCTACAAATATTGGAAAGCACAGTGTGTTCCCGTTGTTGATGCGGCTGTTGTTGTCGCCATAGTGAAGCGCACAAGGAGCACGTGCTCTCCCAGACCACTCTAACTCCAATATGGTTTGAGTGACAGTCTTGGCAAAGCGGCGCAAAAGGCAAGGGGCCGGGTGGGCGCACGATGATTGATCATCAGGCTGTAATGGAGACCGCCAAAGTAAATTAAGCGACCGTGTCCTTTGGCCTAATAAAACACACATATAGTATTTTTAGAAGAACAGGGAGCCCCTCCCCGGTTCCATTTATAACAATGAAACCAAATTCAGTTATTACAGCAGCTCACTGAGAGGAGCAGTTCAGAAAAAAGAAAAGCAAATGACTTAAGCATTACAGAGTTGATGCAACCGGATCACAGTCACTACGCAGTATCAAGTGCAGATCAGCTCCTCGGATGCCTTGCGCGCTTTCAGCGGCGGCGCAGCCACCGCTTGAGGGGACCAGGCAGCCACCAGCGTCGAGGTTGGACTCTGCATCGATGTCGCCTCCGAACGCTTCTTGGAGGGGGACGAGAAGCCCACTGCGTCGTCCGAGATCTTCAGCTTGTCCCATGGAGTCACCAGCGGGGTTTCGGCAAGCTTCATGCTCAGCCACTGATCATCAGCGGCTGCCTCAGATCGGTCGCAAGGTGTGTGATGAAGGCCTCCAGCCTTTCTGCCGCCCCATCTGAGGACAGGATCACCCAGTTCTTGATAGTTTAGAGGAGACAATGGGATCCCACTGTGTCCTTTATGGCCTATTTGGAATACTTTCTCCATATCACTCCTCGCGCATATAACATGCATTGCTATAGCTTTCCGTTTCTTCTTTAATTAATCGCTCCCACTCTCAACGTTCTTATAGTGCTCATCACTCCACATGCATGTGCTCAATTTGTTTTCCAAATGATATTTTCGTTTAACACACTTTGGAGAACTAAAAGTTTCATCCTGACATTAGCAAATTAAACGGCACGGTTTGTTGCGCTGCTCTCGGTTTCATGGCTATAAAGCACGTTTAGAGAGCTTCAACAAGGCCATCACTCTCATACCAGCTTGCCAAACCTGAGGCAGTCTAGCTCCTCAGTTGTTGCCATTGGCAAGCAGCTGCTAGCTTAGCCACCTCTCAGAAACGAAGATGAAGATTGGCAAGGCCCAGTTCTCGTGAAGAAGGCGGCCGCTATGTGCAAGGGCAAGACCGGCATTGTCATGGCTAGGCTCCTCGTCCTCGCCTCTCCCCCCACGTAGTATGGCCGCGATCGGTGCCATCTCTCACAGGATCCACACCCTCATTGTGGCCAGTCAGGAGAAGGGTGCCAAGATGGACTACCACAAGATTTGGTCCGCAAGGTCGAGAGGCAGACATGCCATGGGATGGTTGATGATCCGTGTCACCATTTAGCACTATTTGATCAAGAGGATGGCGTTGGTGGCTGTCCTAACGGGACACTGCACCCCATCTTCAGCGATGATGACAATTGTTATTACAATGATGAGTACAAGGATGATGATGGAGTTGAGGCCTCAGTGATGGATGCGATGAGGAGCAACCAGGAGGCTGAGGAGCTGGCGTTCAACATGGATGACGATATCGACCAGGCTGCCGAAATGTTCATCAGAAGGTTCCGTGAGCAGATGAACAAGAGCTTTTCATGAGGTTTCATTCCATGTGTACATCCTACGAATGCTACCGCTAACAAAGTGACACTAGTAGTGGGTGGAAGAGTGAGATCCAGGCCGTACGCCCATAGATAGAGGTTGGGACGAATGGGCGCATAAACATGTGAGCATTCCCAGGATAGGAGATTTTTGTAGGCGTCCTCAAGTTAGAAGTTTTGACAGATATCTAGGAGTAGTGGCCAAGAAATAATTGCCATCTCTTCTCGATGCAATGGCTGGAGAGGCAAACGGGTGCATCTGGTGCACTAGATGTGTTCTCCCCTGACCAATGTTAGGGCCCGTTGTACATATTTCTCGTTGGGCCTCCTGTCAACGGACTATTGTAATAACGTGCTTCTTACTATGACCACTTTGCAGCTGCTTCCCTCTCTGAGATTACTATATGCTTGTATATGTGACTAGGAACAAAGATTTCCGGCGTGTATCTCAAACAGAAATCTGACGGCAAGCAGGGGTGGAGCCAAGGTACCATATACGAAACATTATTCGGTGTGTGTAGGCACACCTACGACCCAAGGACTTTGAATTTAATGAGGAGCTAGATATGAATATTATAAGCAAAATCCGTTAGGGTGTGCAAAAACATTCATTTTGGATAGAGCTAAACGGTTCATTTCTTTCCGAACTCCAAAACGAAATTACCTAAGCAATTTCACAGTGGACCAAAGACATCACCCCTGCCAACCATCACCATTCTAAGCACTCAAAGGTGCACAAAAGTATATACCCGCAGCTCAACGCTCTCAACGGAGCACCAACTCCGTATATGCATGTTTCTAAAAAAACTCAATTTTTTTAAAAGGTTACAGATCTAATATGAAGGTTCATCTGAAGTACATAGCACCCTAAACTTAATAAAAGTTACATCAAGGTCTTCAACTTCATGATGGTGTTGCGACTTTTGAGTTCTACTGCATGAAAAAAAAATGGAAGCTCCGATTTATTGGGGAGATCGCTTCTACTACTTTGTACGGGTTGATGAGCGAGAAGCAAAGAGCATGGAGGAGATGCAAAGCTACACAGATCTCACATACAGGAACACAAAGCAGCGGAGGAAAGAAGAAGAAAAACAGAGACGTACTAGCTGCGACTTTTGGAATTTTGGGCATGAATCACATGGTGAGCCGGAGTTCGCCGAGGAAAGCTGCCCGGTCTCGTTGCTTTGGGCAAAACATTTTTGTTAAGCCATCTCATGAGCAAAGTTAGTTAATTACACGGCTAGTTGCATCCTCCAGCTAGCTTCCGACTACAAATACACCATTGGAGCATCAGAACAAAGCCCATGAGTCGTTTCTCTCGTCTCTGGATCCCAGTAACCTACATCATTTCTTTCTTTTTTCAAGCCTGAGGCATCCACAACTTGCTTGCTGCCCTTCATAAGCACCTGATCAGCGAGCTCTCAGCAACAAAGATGAAGATCGGGAAGACTACGGAGATCTTGAAGAAGGCGGCGGCGGTGTGCAAGAGCAAGACCGCCAGGCTCCTCATCCTGACCTCGCTTCAGCGTCGCAGGATGATCTCGGGCCCCATGGTCTCTAAGAAGATCCACGCACTTACTCTGGCCGACCGGCAGAGAGTGGACTATCGCAAGGCTTTTGCGCACGGCACAATCGAGAAGAGACTAGTCATCGTCCAGGGCGGTGACTTTGCAGCCAATCAGTCTCATCAGTTGGAGATGTTGGCTCAAGATGATGGTCATGGTGGCTGCCAAGCTGACTGGTCACTACATCCCCTCTTCAACGACGATCATGTCAACTGCTGTTACAGTGGTGATGATGATGATGCGGATGTGCCACTGGATGTGTGCGATCAAGACGACGATGATGAGCTGTTGGTCCTGGATATGATCAGGAGCAAGAGGGAGCAAGAGAGAGGCTGAGGGGTTGGAGTTCAACATGGAGGAAGAGATTGACCAGGCTGCCGATATGTTCATCAAGAGGTTCCGGCAACGGCTGAAGAATGGATTCTAGCTAGGGTCAAGCTTCCACATGGATGTACCTTGGCCTAGGTCTTGTCCTTTTTTCCCCGAGTGTCCACATGATGGAAATTTTTGTAGGAATCAATACGAGTAGGAGTTGGTACTTAGCACACAATGACCTGTTTTTGTCCTTTATCTAACATATAAAAGCTGCTAGAGTACCCGCCATTCCGGGGCATTCGCGTCGCGCGGTGAACGTCGTTCGCTCGATCCACCACTACTGTAGCGTTTTACCGCGCTGTCAATAATCTAGCCGTTTGTTTTCTCGCACGTTATTGTTTCATGCTCCAGTGAATGACGGGTAGGCCTTCTTTACCCACGGGCCCAGCGTGGTGGTGCGTCTCGCGCGTGGCCTGCGTGAAAAAAGAAAGGCTCTGCAGCGAGCGTGGGTTCTCACGGTGAAACCCTAGCCACCAATCGCTCGCGTCTTTGACCCACCAATCGCTCCCTTCTCGAGCTCCGCTTCCCGTTCCCCAATTCTCTCCGCCGCCACTGCGCCGCCTCGTCCTCCCCTGACCTCGGAGCCCCAGCGTATGGTCATCGTCGCCGCTTGTGTAGTTCTTCCCGATGCCTCCCCATCCTCCATCAGCCACCGCTGTGGGCTGTGGTTCTGGGCCGGTCACAGGTCGCTGCTGAGGAGCAGAGGAGGACGGCGGGGAGGGAGAAGGAGCACAGGAGGACGGCACTGGGGGAAGGATAAGCGAAGCCGGAGGCCGAGACGGCGCTCGCGTCATGTGTCGGACGCTGCTCGTCGGCCCTCGTTATCGTCCTCAATCTAGGTTGCCCATCTGCGTCTCACCTTCTTCTTTAACCTTAGTTTTTTGATGATCTGATTCAATCGTTGGTTTATCGTTTTTCTAAGTATGATG